TTTTACCCGTTGTTCTAACAACGTTAAAACGGCTTATCGACTTCTTGAGAAGATTTTCAAGAAGAAAGTAAACCTACAGACATCGGTCTTATTCAACAAAATCTGCCACACTATATTGTTGCACACCCTGTAGTTATGTGAAAAAGTTCAGCACACTGTATTGTTGTACACCTTGTAGGTATGTCAAAAAGTTCGTCACACTATATTGTTGTACACCTTGTAGTTATGTGAAAATGTTCGTCACACTATATTGTTGTACACCCTGTAGTTATGTGAAAAAAGTTCGTCACACTATATTGTTGTACACCTTGTAGTTATGTGAAAAAGTTCGTCACACTATATTGTTGTACACCTTGTAGTTATGTCAAAAGGTTTGTCACACTAATTCATGAGCGTGTCTTGCAGGTCTCTAGAAGCTATACCTGGCAGGTCTCTAGAAGCTATACCAACCGAACTTGGTGGGATGTACGTTAACTACGAATACTCAAGACGTATCAGCACTGAAAGCGGAGCTTCTGATCTTAGTGAACCGAGAGACAGAGAACAGAGCCTTTCAACTTCGGATGCTTTATTAAATATTTATCAAACTCAACCACTTCAGGCTTTTCGAAACCAGCAGCACTGGCGTCTTAGCCATAGGAAATGTAAGTTGATTTTAACAAGTGTACGTTGGTCTCTTCAAAACAACACAGGCCATAACAAGTGTACGTTGCTCTCTTCAAAACGGCACAGATCATAACAAGTGTACGTTGGTCTCTTCAAAACAACACAGGCCATAACAAGTGTACGTTGCTCTCTTCAAAACAGGACAGATCACAACAAGTGTAAATTGATCTTTTGAAAACAACACAAACCATAGCAAGTGTACGTTGGTCTCTTCAAAACAACACAGGCCATAACAAGTGTAAATTGATCTTTTGAAAACAACACAAACCATAGCAAGTGTAAGTTGGTCTCTTCAAAACAGGACAGATCATAGCAAATGTAAGTTGATCTTTTGATAACAACGCAGTTCATAACAAGTGTACGTTGGTCTCTTCAAAACAGGACAGATCATAATAAATGTAAGTTGGTCTTTTCAAAACAGGACAGACCATAGCAAATGTAAGTTAGTCTCTTCAAAACAGGACAGACCATAGCAAATGTAAATTGATCTTTTAAAAACAGCACAAACTATAGCAAGTGTAAGTTGATCTTTTCAAAATAACCTGCACTCATCAAAAGTGAAAGTCCACTTTCAAAACAGTTCGGGTCATAAGAAGTTTAATAAAAATGTTCCAGATCAAGGATAATTATATCTTTAGTATATCTTATAATACAATATGTTATATCTTTAGTATATCTTAAGATACAATATGTTATATCTTTAGTATATCTTAAGATACAATATGTTATATCTTTAGTTTATCTTGAGATACAATATGTTATATCTTTAGTATATCTTAATATACAATATGTTATATATTTAGTATATCTTGAGATACAATATGTTATATCTTTAGTATATCTTGAGATACGATATGTTATATCTTTAGTTTATCTTGAGATATAATATGTTATATATTTAGTATATCTTGAGATACGATGTTATATCTTTAGTATATCTTGAGCTACAATATGTTATATCTTTAGTATATCTTGAGATACAATATGTTGTATATTTAGTATATCTTGAGATACAATATGTTATATATTTAGTATATCTTAAAATACAATATGTTATATCTTTAATATATCTTGAGATACAGTATGTTATATCTTTAGTATATCTTGAGATACATTATGTTATATATTTAGTATATCTTAAGATACAATATGTTATATCTTTAGTGTATCTTAAGATACAATATGTTATATATTTAGTATATCTTAAGATACAATATGTTATATCTTTAGTATATCTTGAGATACATTATGTTACAGGAGTGTTGTTTGTGTGAAACCCCCATATTACGATATATCTGTTCATTTAGTTAGGTTAGGTCTTTTCTAGTGTTTACACATCTATAATAATTTTAGGGAACAACAATGGTTGAAATTGTTTATATTGGATCATATGGATCGTTTTGAGCATGCGCAATACTCTAAAATTGATCCTTTACTGTTGGTATCGGAGAACACTATTCTGAATGTGGAAACTGGTATTGTATAAAGACCAACTGAACAGACTTAACATAAAAAATCACTTATACATTCAAAGCATCAGTATCTCCCTACAAAACGTCTGTTTTATGCCTAAGGCGGAAACGTTATGTATCATAGAAACTGTAGACTCTACATGTTAGGATGGCCAAGGTTCTCAATAGATATATTACAAATATGCATACTAAAAATCAACAATGACAGAGAGTTTTACTTTAAAAGATGATTGCCACTCACTTTCATTTGTTTCTCTATCCAACAAGCCCCAAAACAAGGCAAGAAACCATCGCTAAGATACCAAACCAGAAAGTGACCAACCCACCAAATTGTTCATCTTTCTTCTATTTGTTTCAGTCGAGACAACTCTACAACTACTTTATCACTAACGTTAGTTTAAACCTAAGTCTACTCTATGTGTTTCTAGTACTAATTAAAAAAAATCATAATTCTAGTCTAAACGATGTTATAATTACCCCTTGTAGTTAGCTTTTTTACAGAAATCTGGTGTTCCTTTAAAAAGCTTAAGTAGAGAGTGAAACAGGAATTACCAACCAATAATATATAAACATTAGATAATTATAATGTATAGAATATTCAATGCTTTGTACACTAGACAATCGGGGTCTTTAGGGAGCCATCCCCTATATTATATATGAAGTGAGGAGTAAAAAAATCAATACACATAATATTAAATGTTATTACACACATACATAGAATACACTGAATTACAGTCAGGGGGAAAACGTCACAAAACAAGTAATTATAAAACAAATTAATTAAATGTAAAATGATGTAGGGATGGCAGTGCCTAAAATAATGCAAACAAGAATATATGGATGATATAGCTATATATAGATCATCTCTAGATGACTTTCATTGTTAAAATTTAATGTTAACTCTAAAATGTATACTTGACTTTAATATTACTGTAGTTGGAAGTTATATATCCCTTACTGTTGGTATACAGTTTGTTTATTATAATATCATGGTCATGTCAGGGAAGGCATCAATGTAGTGAAACTAAGAGCCTAGAACTTACATACAAGGAAAACCAACTTAAGTCAAAATATGTCTTGATTATTACAGACTCCCACTACGAGGTCGGTCGAATTGACCAACCTCGTAACCATTTTGTACTTATGCATTTTACAGTGTAACATTAAATTTTAATATTGAAAGACATGCAGGGATGATTTATTGTATAGCTGTATAATTCCTATATTATTTTGTTTGCATTTTTTTTGGCACTGCTATGCCTAAATCATTTTACATTTACAAAATGTTTTTATTACATGTTTTAAAATAAATGGAATTTCTTTAGAGTACTTATTTTGGCATTTGTATAATTCTTAATTACTATCAGTTACTAAATTTATATCTTCAACTAACATGTGTTTATTTTAAATTAAATCTATTTCCAAATGTTATTTAGAATGACAACTGTTTTGTTTGTATCGGATAAAAATTGAGTTCATAAACGGAGAAAAATTGATTATCGAGTTTTCCTGGAAACACATAGTTACTATGCAGTTGATACAATTGAGATCTATTTAATTATTGTTTGTTTTAGAGTAATAGTTACAAATTAAACTATTGCTATAAATAAATAAAAATATTATATAGTCACGTTTGATCCATCTTATATATAAGATAATATTTCTTTTATATTAGTTAGTGAAATATACGACTAATTAAAAGCAATTAAATTAACAAAGTCTATATTTTTAGAATTATTAATTAACAAACGCGAGAAGTACTAATAATATGATAATACTAAAAACTGATAAATGGTATTGACCATGCTTAATATTTATAAACGATTTCTGTTGTGTTTCACTGCTGTAATAACTGTTTTATAAGTTGGCGAAACTAAGAGAAAAAAATCGAAAACAAAACCAAATAAATCATCCATAGAAGATTTTTTTACGGTCCAAGTTTGAAAATGTTCTTTTTATCTTATTGTAGTTGAAGAGGAGCAGAAAGAACAAAGTTTGAAAAGAATTCGCGATACTCCAACGATATCTCCTGGAATTGAGCCTTTGACGATCCCAGTTTTTCAGCCGTCTACTCCGGATTTTCTAGCTCAAGCAGTACAGTGTGATGTAGACAATGGATCAGAAGAGTCGGAGGACGAAAAGGAGGTTGAAAATTCCCTCTTAGCCATTCCGTGTTCGTCCGTCCAGTCCTCCCATTCCTGTGATACCCTCACGCCTGATGGCACTGAGACCAATGGCCCCAACACTCCTACAAACCTAAGTAGTACCACGAGCACAGCCACTCTAGTCGGGAGTGCTTGGAGTAGTGAGTCTCCAAGAACTAGCCCTATAAGGTAATCTAGTAGAAGGTTAAGCCTATCTAATAATTTACTAGCTGGAGTCTTGAAAAACCAACATGAACTGGTTGATTCCAAAATTTGTGCATATGACAGAGGATGGTGTATATTTTATACCCTTCCTTCTTATCCTTATAATTTTTTTCTTCCTCTTTGACTTTTTTTACTTACTCAGAAAAATGGGTGGGGAGGGGGGCTAGTCACCCTATCCACTCCAACTTCCCTGAATTATTTTATCTTTCAAAACAAAATAATCTAGTTGAGATATCCAAGAAGGTGATTGAATATATCATTTGAGTAATCGAAAGAGAAATTTGGATAGTGAATGGAAGTCATTAAGCGTGTTTTTTTTAATGTAATCTACATGATTTGCAAACAAGTAATTCGCTTC